CCCTTTAGTTTTTTGTATATCCTACTTAGGGCGAACCCCGTTTGTGTGGCGGTGGTAATTAGAAGCCAAATACCGATCCTATTGGATGAGTTTATTTTAAGTTAATTGTTCATGCAGACAGACATGATGATGAGAAGAATGCAAGCAGAGTGAAGTAAAGTGGAGTTGGTACGCTCGCCTTCTTCACTTAGCTTTGCTTCAACGTTTTGTATTCTCATGTCTGCCTGGCATGAATGATTGCTTGAAATAAACTCAACCAACCGAATCTGTTAGGATATTCACCAAATATCCTAAGAATACTATTTTTAGAAGTGCAATCCTATTGGCCGAAATTATGATCGTTCTTACTGTCAAGGTCAAATACTTCAATGTTGCCTCTTATTGGTCATCTGGACTGTCAATGTCATTTCAAATGTTCTTTTCTATTGGTCGTCCTAAACTGTCAATGTCACAGACGTTGATGCTCTTTCTTATTCGACCTTAGTGTATAAATACGCACTATCTGAAAGACTGAATAATTCCGTTTCTCCTGCCTACCTCTCTTCTGTACTCGACCCAATAAACAACTCCATCCCACGGTGTTGCGTTCTGATATCTAGGAGATTTGGAAATAGCATTTTGGGTCGTATTGGGATATTTGAATTGGACGTCGCTAGGACTGAATAGCTATACGTAGCAGCGTTACAATAGAATCAGTATTTGGTTTCTCATTACCGCGGCCGCCGCCTAAACAGGCTTCGCCTGAGTATGGTATACGGAGACTGAAGGTGGAGATTTATTTCATAGCTTATTCGACTGTTAGTAAATATGGAGTCATATGGCGAGTTACTGAAATGGTGAACCCAAGGTCGAATCTAAATTGAAGACTAAAATCATAATACGAATAACTGCCATATACTTTTTAGTGTTTAGTCTTTTTCATGATCATTGGCATTAAAATTTATTTCTTGAATTCTTTGCCATTCAGTTTGTCTAGTTTATCTAGCTAGCTGTTCTATGGTTTGTCAACATCGTCAGTCAGTTACAATATAGAACTTTGCCCATAAGTATAGCAGTTCAAGTTGCCATGCCACTGTGGTGTGAGCTACTTATAAGTAGTATATGACGTGAGTGTAAACGTAATGTCTGGCAGCATACTGGGGAAGATCAAGAAAGTAAGAAGAGTGGGAACACAATGGAATTTGTATGAAACGCATGAATAGTGACAATGGATTGATGTTTTGCAACAGTAACAGTCCAGTTCGATAGGATGAACTGATCTTTTGCAAATGAACAATTTACGATATGGTTTTCCGATTTTACTGAGTAACTCTGTAATTTTCGTGTAATACTATCCGGTTGCCCTACCTGTATTCTCGTTCACTACACCGCCACATGTAACTGTCAATTCAAATCCAATAGTAGTAAAGGTAGTAAAGGTATTAGAAGTAATCGGAGAGGTTAGAATTAGACGATATTATTCAAGAAGTAGAAACTAGTGAAATAGACTTAAAAAGATAAAGTGATGAAGAATTAAAAAGTTTAGGATTTTAGAGAGAACACAAAGAGCAAATGCATCTGCGCTATTGCAACCTTTTACTCAGCTATGTCACTCAGGGTTTCTAATCATCGATTATTATCATCTCGCGGACTCCAACCAGGTAGTCGACACTTACCGACATGACTCAGTACACACTTGTTATAAAACAATACTATTATTATTATTGTGGTGGTGGTGGTGTTTGGTTCTCTGACCTGGATGTTTTGGTTGTGTCAAAGCAGGACAAATATCAAAACAAGATCAATGGAGAATGAAATCCAGTGGATCAGTAATTTCACGATTCTACGGTACGCCAAAACTCCACAAACCCAACATCCCGCTACGCCCTATTGTATCCTTCTCTGAAACATCAACCTACAACTTATCAAGAGAAATTTCAAGGATATTAAAACATTTGGTGGATGGATCCGAATACTTCATTATGTCTGCCACACAATTCTTTGATATCTTTCGACGTAACAGCCTTATTCACCTCAATAGAGCCAAGCTTAGCTAAAGAAACTCTTTCCCTGCTCCTCATCAACGACACAAATCCGCACAAATATACAAAGCTTCAGAGTCAAAGTCTGCTTGAACTCATCGATCTATGCTTAACGTATCTTCAATTCAACAACAGAGTCTACGAACAAACACAAATGGCATCACTAATATCAGGACTCATCGCAGAAGCGGAAATGCAGAGACTAGAAGCGTCCATTTTACCAGTGATCAAGCCAAAATTGTGGGTTCGCTATGTAGACGACACAATCGTCATCATCAAAAGGAACGAGCTGGAGAACACCTACAATCAGATCAACAACCTCTTCGATGACATCAAATTCACGATGGAAAAGGAATCAAACAACAGTCTACCATTCCTGGATGCACTAATCGCCAGAACTAACGCAGGAAAACTGGAAGCCAACCCACACAGACATAATTCTCAACTACGATAGTAACAACCCAAAATCCCACAAAATCAATTGCATACAAACTTTTTTCAAGAGAGCGAAGACACACTGCAGCACATATGAAGCACTAAAAATCGAGGAAAATCATCTTATGACTATCTCTTAAAAGAACGGCTATCCACGCAACGTCATCAAAAAACATCAACCGAAATCGTCAACACAAACGAAATCCACTACAGGAACCAATAAACGGATCATCCTACTATACATCAAAGACATATCGGAGCATACAGCACGACTATTGAAACCATTTGGAATAGGTGTGGCACACAAACCAACAGAATCACTTCAATCAATCCTATGTTGTAGACCAAAGGACAAAATGACAAATGAAGAAAAACCAAATATCATCTACAAAATAAATTGCTCAAACTGTGAAAAACACTACATAGGACAAAGTGGACGACCTCTTCAGATTCGTTTACGTGAACATCAATTAGCAGTCAAACGCCACGACAACGCTTCGCTTATATCAATCAATACATACCGACAATTATGGACATACATTTGATTGGAAAAATGTGGAAATACTGCGTAGGGGGAGGACAAAGAACACTAGAGAATTTTTAGAAGCTTGGCTGGCACTCAGGTCAATTAGCAATCAACAAACACATCAACATGGACCCAATTGATCAACTAATCAGGAAAATCATAGGTGACATAGGATCAAGAAACAGATCAAAACAAAGGTGCAAACAACCACAGGTTTAAGGTCAACAGCAACCAGTCAAAACTGAGGTTAACAGAATAAGCTACGGATCAAACGTGCAGAAATTCGAATAAATCACTTCTTCCATCTGAAGTTTGTACTGCTGATGATGATGTTGTTCAGAAGACGAACAATGATGAAAGCTCCACAACCAAAACTACCAGCTCACAGAACCAAACACCACCACCACAACCACGAGCACCACAATCATCCACCTCGGCTACAAATCTTCTCTACCATCATCATCATCATCATCTGAATATTATTACAACTATTATTTTATGCCTACTTGATCAGCACATGTTGATTGAATTGCAAGTATTAAACGTGCTAGCATAATACGTTCTTTTTTCTTTTGTGCTTTCGCTAATGGTGCACTTAATTGACCAATAACAATCGATTGTAATTCACGATAAACTGATCGACTAATCGCATCGGAATAACAAGCTTCTAAACGTAAAAGTTGTGTTTGAACTGATTTAATCATACTGATAATTTCAATCATAGCAAAACGTTCTTCTGCATTGTAATTATAACGAGTAGCCTGAAAAAAGAAAGGAAAAAGAAACGAGAAAGACGGTATAAATATATTTTTATATATGTATATTTGAGATGATGAAAACGAGTAAGAGAAAGGTGATTTTCACACTGTATGAACTGAATCAATCAGTCAGTCAGTCAGTCAATTACAATGTGGAACTTCGTAGATGCATGCATAAGTTCAGGTTGCCATAACGCATTAGCACACAGACGCAACTGTCAGTTCAAATCCCATAGTGGTAGAAATAGTAGAAGTATTAGCGGTGATATAGAAGACTAAGTAAGGTTCGAAGAAATTATTCAAGAAGTATAATTCAGTGAAATAAATTTAGAATGAGAAAGATAGTAATGGTGAGGAATTCAGAAGGTTAGAATTTGAGAGGACAAAAAGAATGGATGAACCAGAGTTATTGCAAACAATTTTGAGCTATGTCATTCAGGGTCTCTGACTATCGATTACTATTATCTTGTAAGCACTAACCAGGTAGTCGACACCTATTAACATGACTCAATTCACTTGTCATTGACTTCATGGAGTTCTGCCATGTTTTGGCCTGAACGCCCCTAGCTTTCTTCCAACCTAATTCTACAGCACCAAACGTAGCTCGTCGAGGCAGTCGGTGGTTAGGCATTCGTAACACATGTCCCAACCACCTCAACTGATGAAAATTCACTACTTCATCTATTGATCTGCCATCCTTACCTAGTACCTGTTTCCTAACGACAGCATTGCTTATACGGTTGTCCCACGATATACGAGCAATGCTTCGAAGACATCTATAATCGAACACTAACAACGTAAGAATGTTCTTCACTCTTACCAGACATGCTTCGCATCCAAGTAGTGTGACAGAGAGAACTGCTGCACATTACACTCGAACTATGGTTAGTAAACGGATATCTCGACTGCACCATAAGGGACGCAAGTTGGCAAAAGCCAATCGAGCTTTCTGTATCCATGCTGAGATTTCGTCAGTCATCAGGCCATCAGCACTGATGAGACTCCCGAGATAAGTGAACTGATAACTGAACTTCTAACCACTTAATTCATGCTCTTGTAGAACCAGACTGGAATATTTTCTTTCATGCTTATTGAACTGAAGACTGATTGTTCATGCTTAAATGCCTTGCTCTAGAGGAGTAAACCAACTGTCGAATACATATGTCACATATATAACTATGAAAAGCTCAATAACATGTCATAGTTTTTAACACTTAAACCAACTGGATTGAAATCCTCCTGTGGAGCGAGCTACTTATAAGTAGTGTCAAAGTAATGTCTGGCAGCAGAAGATGGGGGAAGATCAAGAAAAGAAGAGTTAGAACACAATGGAATTTGTATGAAACACATGAATAGTAGTGACAATGGATTGATGTTGTTTGCAACAGGAACAGTCCAGTTCGATATGATGAACTGATATTTTGCAAATTAACGATTTAGGATATGATTTTCCAATTTTACTGAGTAACTCTGTAATTTTCGTTAAATACAATTCGGTTGCCCCACCTGTATTCTCGTTCACTACACTCCTAACTGCTACTTAACAAGCAAAAGAATTTCCCATCCACTAGGAATGATAGATTGGCGATGAAGTAAAAACTTGAGTATATTTGAGCTACATTATTGGTTAAATATTTTTCCAAGAGCACAAAAAAATTAAAATAAAACACCTTTTGGGTTATTCGCATCAAAACATTGTGTAGTTTACTATCAAGAAATGAAAAGATAATGCTAAAAGCTAATGACCAAGAAATGTAAACTAGCAGGTCATGCAACAAATAAAAGTTACATTTAAAACAATCAAATATAATAAGCCGAGTGCTTGTAAACCAGTAGCCTTCCAAACAAGGTGCTTTTTGTGGTTAATGAATAACAAAATTAATTGGGAGATAATTCTGTGTTATCACTGTTAATCAGGTAAGAAGATGAACATTCTGAATTTCAATTCCAATGACTAACAAACACTTATTAAAAAAAAATTGAATTACATCTTCTTAATGTGACAATTTATGAATTCAAAAAAAAAATCAAAAAAAAATACTTTTTCATAATTTTCAGCATCTTTTGGACAATCATGATTTGTGTAATGATTGGCACAATGTGCAAGTTTCCATGTAAATGTATCTAACACTTGAACAGACCAACCAGATAAATATTGAAGACCACGAAGCGCAAGATCATAAAGTTCTTGATTCTCTTTAGCAGAACGTTCATTTAAACGAATTGAAGTTGTATTTGTATGCCAAGCTAAATCAGATGTCAACGATGTATACTCTTCTCTAAAATTTAAAATTATCATTATCAAAAAAGGCATTTAAGCTAAAGAAAAAAATATTTTAAATAATTGGATAAATATATAAAAAGTGAAATCATTATATGGGAATGTTTTATGTTTGAAAATTGTTTGCAATGGCACAAGTGCATCCACTCTGTGTTCTCTCTTATTCTAACCTTTTGAATTCATTCCTCATCATCACGCCTATCTTTCTCATTCTAAAGCTATCTCACTGAATTATACTTCTCGAATCATATCTTCGAACCCTAATCTCTCCGATTACTGCTAATACTTTTACTATCGCTGACAGTTGCGTCTCTGTGCTAATGAGATATGGCAACCTGAACTGATGTACTTATGTACGTAGTTCTGTGTTGTATCTGTTTGCATTACGGGGTTGTGAAGATTGTTAGGTTACACATTGTTGAAACAATGAATCGAGATCAATGTTAGACCACCATTAGAAACCTGGAAGCACTGGATGGCCATGGCCGTTTCGTCCTGTTATGGGACTCCTCAGCAGTGCGCATCCACGACTCCTGCACCCCGCAGGATTCGAACCCAGGACCTTCGGTATTGTGCGCGAACGCCCTAACTGTTCATGGTTTCAAAAATGTGTAACTTAACAATCTTCACAACCCCGTAATGCAAATTACCTGTGCTCACTAGTGATTAGCTTCGTGAGGAATCTTCTCCGAGTTCTAGTGGGAAGACGTGACCAGTGAAGTTCAACCTGTTCGGGTGTAGACAGTAACTACTACAAAGACTGTGTATGAGGTTGCGCAACTCCGTGAATTGATTGAAGTTAGACATTAACACCGTTAGATACCGGCTCAGTTGTATCTGTCTGTCTGTCTGACACTTTTAACATTACTGAAATTCTTATTGGCACTAGCCTGAGTAATAAAGTGAACATTATATAAATATTATGAAGCAACTCATGGCGTAGAATAAATTTGAATGTTAGGGGAAGTATAATAAGTGACAAAGATAAAATCACACGAGGACATCATTGATTTATCATGTACAAGTTTATAGATTTTGTTTCGAACTAAAGTTTTATAAATGATGGCTAATAAATTTATCAAGATGTCCAAACTGAAATGAAACTAGGTTTGGACTAAAAGACCTAATTCTTTAACAACTAAGATATCACTACTTAAGTATCCTTTAGATTGTTAGGGTTTACATACTGTTTTTATTTTGAGTACATGAATGACAGTGGATAAGATACTGATGTTCGGTATGAATTATATTGAATATCGGCTTAAGCTATTCACATAAACTTGCAACCGGTATTTCATATTTGGCTACCATTAATAAGAAACGGTGACCAACGTGAAAGCATCTGTCTGTAAGGTTATTATCTCCACTCTAACTCAAACTTATTGAAGTGTTTTAAAACTCAGTAGTATTTCTGGGGGTCATCGGTTTAGATACACTTGTTTCCATCTGATTACGAGTTAGAGTAACTCCTTCAACAATCAAGGTTTTGATATCTCAGTGGCATTAAAATTTCTCACATAACAGATCCTAAAAGAATGGTATGTCTGTATAGAGCTGATGACTAGTCTTCAGAAATAGTAATAGCTGGGTAGGCTCTCTTAATGGGCGTCCAGGTGAGAGCAATCAATATACACCGAAAGCCAGTATAGTGCATGTTAATTCCAACTACTATTAAGATATTAACTTAGCCATAGAAGATTAGGTGCTGAACATTAAAGCTAGTAGCTAACAATATTTAATAAATGCCAAGGTCTGGTGGCTACATGTGTTCGGAGATAGTGAAGACAACTACAGTTTCTAATCTTTAAACATAAACTTTAGTTGCTTGAATGAAACTTCTGAAAATTATTTAAACAAACTGTACATTGTTTGTCAACCTTGCAACTAAGCGAAATAGCGACGATGGGTGAATATAAAGAGATAGTAGTATGCTTAAAGATGGGAGGGTAATTTATCTACATGAAATGTAGGTCTAGTTTGACAATGATGAGATAAACAGGTATTAAGATCGAACCATGCAAAACCGGAAAAATAACGTAATACCTACTGGAATCTTGCCATGTGTGTTAATATCACTCCCTGACCAGAAACTTTTGAACTATTGCACTCTGGCCATTTAGATGGATCAAACGACGGTGTTTGACGAACATATGAAAACGGTTCCACACTCATATCACCGAATAGATTAACAACTTCACATTCCTATACAAAATCAAATTAAGGACTGAATTAGGCTTACCTTTAGAATACGATCTAATTTTCCTATATTTAGACGCTTTGAAATCTTATTCAGACAAAGGCCAACTTGTTTGCCATCAACTATACGACTTGAGTCGAGAAGATAAAGGGAAAAAGCTATAACCTAAAGAATATGAACTGGGACTAAATTCGGAATTACTATAACATGAGTATGCTTTTCTTCTGGAAGGACATAGACTTTGTTTTCATACATTTGAGCGCTGTTGTTAATGATTTCTACCAACAAGTCCTCATAACCATCAACTGCAATCAAGCTTTCCTTTAATGTATCACGAATAATTTTTTGCTTTGCCAAGAATATACTCACATCGTGAGAATCGGGATCGTTGACCTGTAGAAACTGGGCAGCTCTGGTCATTAGCAAAAAATTATTTTGGACACACCTTTTATAGTTGGAATAATCATTTTTCATACTGGCCTTCATGTTCTTCATTTCATCTAGAACAGCAAACATTCTTAACATTTTCCCAAGCGTGATGAGGTAAGCTTGGTTTACAAAGAAGTTTTTCTGGTCCTTATGAGCCAGCCGTTTTACTATTTCTACAAACCTCCGTATGGCAGCATCCTAATAAATTTTATTAAATACTCTTTGTCAACATACTTGAAAGAACATAAACTGTTTTAGCCTCGAACAGTGTGGTTCCAATATTTCTTTCGTTTTTTCGTATATTTTTATCCTGTTTGGCTGGTCACTTGATCGAATCTATTGATAATAGCATTTAAATTATTAGCTTACAAATGGAAGAGCTCTGGATATTGACCTCCATGTGTATAACATAATTGCGTACTCTTGCCCCTGCTCGAGCAGAGTATTGAGTTGTGAATAAACTCTGGCATCCTCAGCTGAACGCGCAAAGGCAGATTTGAATGCGGTTATATCACTGAAGTTCGTATCAGTATTAGACTGATCAAAAATGAACCCAAAGAACACAATAATTACCTGCAATAAGATAGGGAAATTCGCTCCCTGGATTGATGGAACATCCTCATCAAGAGTCAATTGGGACAAGGCACTGACTTCTCTCAACATTGTAGGCGTCGAGCCTCTAGGGAGTTGAAGAACTTCCATTGTAACGCATCAACCTTATATCCGCAGCCTACCGACCTTCAGAAACTCCAAGGCTCCAATATCCAATATCTAATCCATTATCTTTTTCACGAGCTAGTGTAAACCAATTGATTTCTGAAACTTAAACAGGGAGAACTGTCAAAATTTGATCGTTAGGATTTACAGTTCACCTACTCTCTTTTTATGATGTTACTATTCTGAGACCCGTAATCGACATGTCTTATGAAATCCAATATGCAATATCTTTTTCACGAGCTAGTATAAACCAATTGATTTCTTTACGCTCGGTTCTTCTTCTTTCGGTACGGCTCCAGGTGTTTGGTAGTGTCCAATGGATGGGGATCTAGCCACTGGACTGTCTATTTCTAGTCATTTGGCAGTTGGTTTGGGGTTTGCATGTCCCGTGATTTCAATGAAAACGTTTGTTTCAGGGCAGTAGAGTTTACGGATACCAGCAGCTATTACATTGCAAGACCGGAGATCAGTTAGTTACAATGTGAAGAATAATAAGGAGAAAGTTGCAATGCTTATAAGAAGATTTCAGAACTAAGTAATATGTAGATGATTTAGTTTATTAATTGGTAGTGAAGAGTGTGAGAGAGGACCGATGTGTAAGTAACGGGGAGGAAACAGAAATAACAGGCGATACAGATTAAGCGATCTGAGGAGATGGTAATGATAACAACTAGCATGTCCCAAGGCATACATCAGGCACACCTGTTCCACGATGAGGATGATAATCCATACGTGAGTACGCGTTTGTCCAGTCTATTATTAAGTTGTCCACTGAGGTGGTTGTGGTCAGCTCGGCTGGGAGAGCATTCCAAATTGCAACGACTCGTAATGAGAAAATGTGTGCACGAACCTGCATGTTCACTCTTTGATGTGCGATCTTTCGAGGATTCCCTCGAGGGCAGTGGTGGTGATGCACTGGTAAGATGCTCACGTTGGGATTGTTTGGCGTGGTTAAAATAATACTATTAATAATAATCACATTTGATTCTCCTATAACTCAGTGGCAATAATCCCAAGTGCAGAAGCCTATCTTCGTATGGTTTATTCTTCAATCGTATCACCCATTAGGTTGCTGGTTTCTGCACTCAATCCAAGAAATTATGTCTCTTTTAAGCAGAAGGCGTGCGATGACGTTGTGAACCTCCAGGTGTGGGTTCACGCATGTCCTAAATAACGTTAAGAATAAGTGAGGGGGGATAGCATCAAGCGAACAGTCGCATTCGCCTCGGCCGCATTCCCTATATGGTTTGGGCTTGTGTTGAGGCTTTCTGTGGTTATTAAACCGAGATCGCGCTCTGAGGAGACATTAGGGAGCGGACTTCCATTGAGGGTGTAAATCGTTCGCGTCATGTGGAGCAGAATGCACATGATGTCACACTTCGGTTGGCTGAGTTTTAAACCGCTTAATGGTTCCCATTCCTCAATGTATATAAGGTCCTTTTGAAGCTCAGGAAGAGCAGTGGACCTATGAAGGTCCCCCGTGAAACTCCCACTGTGAATACCTGTCAGCTCGCATGTACTCTATTTACCTTGATACTAAACTTTCTACTCTCAAGGTAGTTTCTAAGCCAACATACGAGTGGGTCAGTGAAGCCCATTTCCGCAACCTTTGCGATTAGGCGTGCGTGCAACGGTATTTTCTTGTCCAAACAGTGTGTCCAACTGTCCCGTGCTATGGGAAGATTAGATGCTCACAACCTGCCTTTCCGATATCCGTGTTGAGCTTCATGGAGTATTTCATTCCTATCCACGTACTCTCTCATTCGTTCGTTCACCAGCCCTTCCACTCCTTTGATAGTATCGGTAGTAATGCGACTTGTCAGTAACAGACTGGGTCCTTGCTATCTACGCCTTTGAAGATTGGAAAGAGAACAGGTTGTATCCATTCATCTGGGAGTTGGTGTGAATCCAGTGAATGCCTTTACACGTCATATATCAGTGAACAGAGGGCTTTCGCACATTGTTTCAAGACTATGAGGCGAATTTAGTCACAACCTGGTGAATTTCCTGATACGGATATTCCCTAAGCCGTCAGCTGGCAAAGGTTTTGCGTAGTATTCTGAACATGTGGATGCCTGGTTTAACCGATCAGTAAAGTTTGTGTTGGAGAACCCTGCCATCTCTAGGTTTGTGACGTCCTCCCCATTGGGACCTTTGAGAGAACAAAACCCCTAATTCGAAGGTTTCTTTTAGTCATGAACCTAGGCGAGTGCTTCGGGTTCGCCTGTATTTTGACAGCTATCTTCATCTGAAATCGTATCCTATCACTTTGAACTTTGGCGTTGCATGTTCCTCAGTACCAAGTAAGAACTACCATCAGATTCCTTCAAGAAGACCTTCCACTTGTGCCAGGCTCTCCTCTGCGCCTGTAGCAGGCGTTCAGCACCGCGCCTAACACATGTTCTTCTATTTCTGGGTGTGTGTTTAGACCGACAGCGTTCTGGATGGTGTCTCCAACAGTTTGCCAGTGATCATCTACTGTCAGCCTCCACCACTCTCGTGGCCATGAGGCATGTAGGAGGATCTCTCTCATAAGCGTATAATTTGCCCTAGGGTAGCAATGATAGGACTCGTTTTGGTCGTGTGTGAGTGTGTCGTTTATGACCATGCTCAACAAGACTGTGCCATGACCACTACTTCCTATTGGTGCATGAACTTGGACATCTTCGACCAGGAGCTGATCATTTGTGAACAAATAATCCAGGCTTGAGGACTTTCCTTCCTCAGTCCATCTAGTGGCACTGCATACGTGCTCAGTAATCCCAGAGCTTCTAATGACTGCGTTTAGTAGCTTTTTGTACCCTGATTACTGAGATTTAGCGATGGGGTATTGAAATTATTATTATCTCCAGTTAAGAGCATTTGATCAAACCCAAAGAGTGGCAGTTGTAGTATTGCCGCAGCTGGTTTGTCATTCTAGGTCGGCAAACCTCTCCAATCAAGTATTTTGTGCTATTTGTGTAGAAACAACACCAACATGCTTCTGTCGCCTAGTTAGTTGGGCGTCGTATAGCAGTTCGGCTTTTATGTGGCTGTTTAAATATTATCCACTCCGTCTCACGTTTGATGTACCCTATTGCTTCGGAAGAGTGTCATGCTTTGCAAGCTCACTTCGTCGTCCGCAATATCAGGGGATAGCAACGTTTTAGTCAGGATTATGATCTTCAGATCCATCTGAGAGCGCATATTCCTGATTTCTAACAGATTACCCCATAGTCCTCTTACGTTGCTATAGGGGCACTTGCTGGTTTGTCTCAGCATTTGATGCACCTCTACAACAACAGTCGTTGTCGGATTTTCAAACAAATTGTTCAAACCGAGTTGGCCAGTTCTGTGAGAACTGGCCTCTTCAAGTGTTTTTGCCTGTGCCTGAGGTCAGTTGTCACTTTTTCGCGTTTTTTATGGCCTCGTTGCTGTTGTCTCACAGATCTAGGTTGACTTTCGCAACACATAATGTGGCTAAACAGGACGTTCTTACAACTGTACCAAGCTCGGAGTGCCTCGGTCAGATCTTCCCAAATCCTAAATGTCACAGCCATCAGACGTGAGATGTGACTGGGGGCAGCCTAGAAACGCAAAGAGCATTTGTGGTGTGAAGGCCCAAGCTATATGATTGCTATTGCAGCTGTTTCACATTGTGCACATGAGCCTCATTCAAGCTACTGCCAGCGAGTTCGGGTAAGTCGTGAACTACCTTAGTAGTCTGCTCTTGGATGCCTGGTATTGTCCTGGCTGCTGCTCGTAGAGGCCACGGTTTATCATGCCTGATGCGAGTAGGCGAGGACAAATTAACCGATGGTCTTCGGGATGAGAGGATGATGTCTTCAGCAAGTCGCGTTGAGTCAAGAGTTACCCTCATTCAAGGGATCCTCCATTCGGGACATTCTGGCCTTTGAAAAGGTGGCATATTTTTGATGGGGTATTGCACATTCCGAGGACTGAGCAGTACTTATCTCACTGTTCTTTCTCAAAAAGTAAATTTAATCTATCGTCCCTGTCCCTCGGTGGTAGCCGCTTGTGAGTTGTGATGTTGCCTTCGGGACTGAGCTGGAGTGGAATGAACTGGGTGTAGTAGGGGTACATTTATTCTGGTTAGGTGTCAGCTGTTCGTGCACTTCAGATCGACTCTACCCACCACTCTGCACTATATTCGTATCTCGTTGTGGATTGATTATACGTTGGTATTCATTGGCCATGTCGCTAAGGGTAAGTTTAGGATATTGTTTCGATTGACACAGTAGCCATGTTCTTATGTCACCGAACTTTTGGGACTGGGGGCTGCAAATGAGGAATAGGGCTTTAAACTGGTCTTCCGACAAAGACGTCAAACAGAAGCTTTCACATTCATGGTTGAATATGTCCACATGTGTAAGAAAATCAAACACGGATAAGAAGTATTAGACAGTGATGAGTTGTCACCGAAATGTTGGCTTAATGTTTAGACTGTATCTGAGAATGAGCGATCACGTGGGTTGAGAGGCGGGATACTATTACAGTATTTGTCCAGCTCACTTGCACCCAACTTTCGAAGTAGCAGCCGAACCTTACAAGCAATATCTTGATTGGCGAAATCAAATTTAGATAGATATTTAAAACGCTGGAACTACATGTCAAAAGTAACATTAGCACCAGGATCACAATGACCTCAGCAATACTATTTGCGATGCCATCTATTGATGGTGCTGTGGTTGCATTAGATGAGCTAGGTTGTTTTTGGAAGGCGAAAGCTTTATATCCGTCAACACCTGCATTAGTTTCAACTGTTGCTCACGCAATAATTCAAGTTTGACAGGATCCATCTATCCAAATCCACCGTCGTTAATTGTTATACGCGATAACTGATACGACTATCACGAGTTCACCTTAGTCAGCAGCGAGAGCGAAACAATGATCCAGTGACACGATAGGCTACTCTCATCTGTTGCCCCCGTCTAACTGAAAAAGAAGCCTTGATATGGCTTGTAAAATGTATTATACAATCACCC